CTTGTGAAGTTTTTCGAGAGAGTTCACAAACACCCTGTATAAGCGTGTATATACAGGTTGTCCATAAAAACGTTTCAGGACTTTGGGAAATGAATCCTCATACTAAAAGGAAGAAAAAAGTTTACGTGAAGGTATGTCCGAAAATGCATATTTACCCAAATATTTGCCGATTAGTTTTTTATTCAAAACTTTTTTATCAGTGATTTTTTTCATTCGATGATTATCAAATTTGGTAAGCATGTTAAAATACACAATACCTATTATTGAAAAAATAATAAAGTTCGTCCCATTGTAAATTCTAAAATGGCGGCCGTTTTAATTTTTATAACTTTAATAACTCAAAAACGGATAATTCTATGACAAGGCTTTAGCGAGAGTTTTTTAGCATGTTTATTTCCCTATCAAACGATACCAAGATCAAAAAGATCGGAAGACCAATAACTGTAATAGAAAGTTTTTTTTTAGATGTGAGATCAGGCAAAATTAAGTGTTCCCCGACTAATCTCATTTTCACACCAAAAATGTTATACTCAAATTACTTGTCGTCCGATCTTTTTGATCTTGGTATTGTTTGATAGGGAATTAAAAACGCTAAACAAGTTTTTCTGATATTTCATCATAGAATAAGCCGTTTTTGAGGTTTTTTTATATAAAACCACTATGAAAATGGTTAATCGTAATAAATATTTACCATTCGTCCACATTGCTTGAATCATCGATCACATAACATTTATTTAGCTGTATCGTTTTTGAGTGGCAATATAATCTGTTATCTAATCAAGTTAATGTATGTAAAAAGTTGAAAAAGAAATTATTATCTAATAGTTATGTACTGATATCATACGTATTTTATTCTTAACTACCAAATAATTAACAAAATTTGTTTTGCTTGCTTTTAAATGTACTATCACATAAAACTTGGTATTATACAGCAATCAATTACATATACCCACTACCTTAATGAAAACAAATGTTATGATCTTAAACAGTTATCTGCTAATTTTGGGATAAGTATATAATTAACAATATTAAAATCATGTTGAGTTAGGTCTGGGCTCCAGCATTAAGGCATTGTTACTAAATTATTTAGTGAGGAGGGAATGGTGTTGCCATGTCTGCTTGTTCCGAAGATTTATGTTGGTAGCAAGGCGTTGTTTTGTGCAAAATTCATGGGTATAAATCTCCTGAAGTAGGAACAGTGTTTAGCAAGTAATTCAAGTATGTTTTGAAAGTGTTTGATAAAATGGCTTAAAAGACCCAGCTCTACATTAGCAGGATATAAACTATGTTATATTTACAATATTAAATGAACCCCATCGATTTGGGAGTTACAAAAGTTTACTCCTACTTGAGCTGGTGTAATCAGGATGAGTTTTATTTTCACTAATGCATTCTCTTAGATGTGTTGAGTAATTACTTTTCTACAATTTGCAGATAGCTTAGTTACTTCTCTTTCAGGCTCCCGTTCTCTTTCGTATACACTATGACTAATCATGAAACATGTTCACTAAAAATGTTTTTATAAATACATTGAGAATGTTTTTTTTTAATATTGTACAGTCATTCCAGACTTACATGAAGCTCTTAATTTATGACCATGGTCAGAGTCCTACGGCGTTGTTTGTAGACTATCCATGGATATCAACCCTGTGAAGGTGGTACAGTTTTTGTAAATTCCTCACTTTCAAAAAACTGTTCCATAATGTATTAATATTGTAGAATGTCTCTTGACAGAGCTGTGTATGCTTGTGATAAAATTACGTAAACACGTCCCTGGCATCAATAGCAATTTAAAAACGCAATCTCCATGCTATAAAAGTAAATACTAGTTTACTTTTTTCTTGAGAGGATTCATTTGCAGACTCGCGTAAAATTGTGTATAGCGTCTCGTTGTCCTGGTCAAAAACCGATGAGAACCTCTTTAGCGAAGAGGTTCGTAACTGTTTCGTACCATTACGCTCATAACTGTTTAGTGTAGACAATATAGCTAAAAGTTAAAAGCTCACTAAGAAATTTTATCTGGGTCAAAAATTGATTATGCTAAAGTTCGAGCTAGCAAACCGATCATTCGTGTGTATTAATATTACCTTGTGTGTATTTTATGTTAAAATGTATTACCTTGTGTATTATATAAGTATTTTCTCATTTACTTATATAATTGGCTTAACTATGTGAATTATATTTGTAATTTCTATAATGATGGAAAAGATGCCCATAACTTTGCTGGTATAATTAAATTGGTTTTATTTTAATTTATTTCCCAGAACTGAATCCCATAATAGAACTAGAATTAATAATATTCAAACAAATAATTCACAATACTTAAATACTTTTAATTAAAATGGCAACCATACACAGTTAGGTATCTTAACCAAAGTATGAATGGAGATGAGTTAGCCCATACAGCCAATGGCAACTAGTCCCGTACAGTTAAAATCCAAACTACTTTTTGCCCTGTAATTATCGAATTGGTCTGTTTATTCAGAATAGTACTGCGGATAGTCGTAGTACTCACTAAAGCGGACGTTAATCCACACCAGGCAGTATCGCATCCACAGATCATGTCTATAAATCCACAATTCGTCACCCCCAAGTAGCTGGATTATAGAACGACGCCACCGTCCCAGTCAATTAAATAAATTTATCATATTACATGTATAAAATAAACATTATCGCATCTTTGAAAACACAAATTGACTAGATATTAACCGAATATCGAGTAATCTACAGTATCTTCTATGTAAAATGATTCTATGTGAATTTAACATTAAATGCTTTATGATACAAGTACTTTATGATATAAGCTCGGATATCAACCCTAAACAATCAACGGTAGGCTTGGTGGTTGGTACTAACGCACTTAAATTAAGGCTAATTAAATATTGACAAACGTAAACAGGTATAATGTAATTTTTTAAAGATTTAATGAAACTACTAATGAACAGTTAGAGATTGCAATTTCGAAAACAATTAGGAAAACAATTAAGAAAACATATCGTAATTAGCTTTCTAACATATCGGTAGACTTGACACAATCCATTTATCTAATTAGTCCCAATCGCATAAGCTTTTTACAAAATTAAAATACATAGTGGATAAGAAAAAATAAATGTAACGATTGACATAATATATTGTGGTATAAATGCACCAATTATTTAGATTCTGTAGGTTTAATTAATACGAATAAGACACCAATGTAAGATAATAAATTGAGTATGTCTTTCATTAAATTGGGTGACAACAGATCCAACTAGTACATTAACGATATTTCTATATATTCGATTTAAAGCAAGAAAATATTATGACTTAACACATCTCATTAATCAACAATCACCTTGTATACAATTTGTAATATTTACGAAAGAAAACTTAATTCTGAGAACTCTTTAACACAAATGAACACAACCTTGGAGCTAGATCTTAGCAAACAAAAAACCTTGAGATTATTCTACTCATTAAAAATTACTAAATACAATAATGAAATAAAGAAACTAAATACCAAAAGTGGGCAGTCATATGAATTAATGTTAGAAAGGGTTGAAATAATTATGCTTCTTCCAAATTTGTAAGAGGTGCCTTTAGAAAACCAAATTATTGTTATATGTTTCAGTTAGCGAAATAAAGTTAAATTAACGAATATAGATTATATTAAATGGTGAACATAATATTTGATTTAACTTTTTTATTGATTTATTATTTTAATACGTACTTTCATGATTAATTTAAATATTTATTCATAGTTTGATTTGTTTACAGTTGTTCCTTTTTATCTTGATTAACGTAACATGATTCACTCTCAATTGGTCCTGCAGATTTAATTTTTTGTATTATTTCTAGCAGTAACCATTCCTGTAATTTAAAAATATGTTTTTATTTTACAAGTAATTTTATCTGAGGATTAATATGTTTCTAACATGTATGAATTTCAAAAAAAAAATAGTTTTTTATATTTTATTAGGGTAAGAAATACTATAAATAATTAAAATTGTAATATGTTGTAAATTTTTGTCGATACCTTTATAAGTTTCATAAACTATATTATTATATTTAATTCAATATCAATTAGATGCAATTTATTTATTTTAGCGAATTTCCCATATAGGGAATAAGCTATTACCGTAGGTCTCATGGTAAGACCTAGACCCGGGACCGATTTACTTTTTCGTTTTGAGGTCCCCAGAGGCCAAAAACATCATCCGTTCAAATTCATATATATATATATATATATATATATTTATATATATATATATATATTTATATATGTGTCCGTTAGCGCGATAACTCGAGCAAAATTGATCCGATTTTGATGAAATTTGGTACAAACGTGTAAACCTACATTTATTCGAACGAGTTCGCAAACCAGCATAATCGGACCATGGGATCAGGGGTTTATGGGGGGTTTTATGGGGTAAAAATGGGTTTTTCTCATTTTTGACCCTAAAAACTTTAAATTTCTAAATTTCTCTCTAGACCATTTTGAAGAGCTTAAAAAAACAAATAATTTAGTATATTGAAGTTTTTTTTAATGTTCATTGACTACGGAGAAAATTAAAGAAATTGTAAATTTAAAATTCCCATGTTATTCTTATGGAGAATAAATAAACTGTTCTAGTTTGCTTGTTTATGGATATATTTTAATCAAATTTGGCAATTTGGCTTATTTCATACTAAGCTATCAATATTTCAATTGAAAAAACACACCTCAACATCTTTCCCGTAGCAGCAAACCTAACTACTCACTAAAATTAATGTTATTTAAATAGGAAATAAATCTGAAAATTTATAGGGAATATTTTAGTAGAAATCGAGCCTGGTGAATGGAAATTCGCTTAGTATGCAGGTTTGCTGCGACGGGGGTATTTATTAAATTGTATGTACTGTCTGTGTTTACGTAATTTTTATCAAAGCCCCTTTAGTGACAACCCCATTATCAAGTTGTCAAAGTTTAATTAATTCTAAGAAGCTAAAACAGTTGCGTATATGAAACAGTGCACACTTACTTTGAGCGGGACCGGCGAAACCTCACTCACTTCCCGGTGTTTTGAGGAAAATACACAAAGTCATCCATTAAAAACTACAAGCCCGGTGACGCCCCATATGTTCTACACTGTCATCAATCGCGTAGTCCCTTAGACCGGTGAACGATAACGGTGAACGAGTCGGGAAGGATGTCGCGCACCAACTACAGGGCGCGGACTGGGGTGGAAGTTTGTGTCTCCACCCTCTAGACTGCTCTGGCGTCGCTATCACACCCAGCGCACGCACACACACACACACCTAGACACATAACAGACAAGGCATCAACATCAGCTGTCTCGAGGCTATTGTACAATTGTGTCTCTGAGGGGTTTGGTATATTTAATTTTCTCCAAATTGTTTGTGATTTTATTTGTGAAACATATATTTAATTTATTTTGTACGTGTGTGTGTATAACACATTATGCTTGAAGCAAACCTATGAACTGTTTCATCCATTGTTTCTATATGAATAAGTTAAATAATTAACTACTTTTTACATAACCTTAAACAATTTTTACTTCTGAAATTTTCCCTTTCGCACTGCAAAAGATACAATGTATTTTTAAACACTATATTTTAGCAAAAACATTTATTAGTTTGCACCAGTCTAAGGTAGGCTAATTGTTCAGCTTACAATAGTTTTAGTTTTTATTGGCTTACTGGAACATATAATATCAATGATAATCTCGAAAGTGTATTTTTTTGACATTTTAGATTTGCTAAATAAAAGTTCCATAAACCAAAGAAGTTACCATTATCAAATATAATTTTGACTAACTTTGATGAAACATTATTTCAACTTGAAAACTAATTTATTGATGAAAACCTCCACGTTATATATTCATGAACGTATTCATGGAATGCATCAAAAACAAATTTAAGTTACAAGTAAATATTTCACTTTTAGGATTATTTTATAAAACACAAGAGTTTTGATCGAGAGAAGATTACAATAACATGATCTGCCATGTACTCCCTTGTAATCCTATTATGTTTATGCTTTTTACTCTCTTGTTGTTTTATCTTTACATCAGTATTTGAAAATTACTGCTACACAAAACCTATACCTAAGCTACACAAAAAAAGTAGCTTACTATTGCCAGTAATGATATGCCAAATGTGGTTGTGATATCTCTTTTGGTTTTACAGTTATATAATCTCCCTTAGACTTAATTGTCACCATGTATGCGAATATACTTAATATAACTACAATGTAACACACTATCAAAAGATAATAAGTTACTATTATCTACTAATTTGTAGCTTACACGTATGGTTAACTAAATAGTAAATAAAGATATCGTGTTAGATATACAACGCATCACTCATAAAAGAGTACATTAGAAGTGTAAATTATGGCTACATTATTTTGATCTAAAAGAAGTCACTTAACTGTAAAGTAATCATTTTCAAGCTGTCTGTATTTGAATTTCCAATTAACAAGATCACTGTTGTTGTCATCAACTAGAAATTTAATCTGTTTTCGTAATTAATAGTAATAAACTAAGTAGTGCATTTCAATTTTTCTCTCTCTCTATATATATATATATATATATATAAATTTGTATATTTCTTCAGCTCTTTTAGTTTAGTTTACACAATAACTTTACTACTTTTTGAATAAGAACATGCACAGATACTACGTATTAAAAATATATAGTGCTTTTATTAGGAAATTATTATTATTATTATTATTTTTTTTTTTTTAAGAGGTTGGCGGCCTCTTTTAACCTTGCATTTGCCCGTCCACATAGACTAAACAACATGCACAGATACTACGTATTAAAAATATATAGTGCTTTTATTAGGAAATTATTATTTATTTGACATTATCTTAGACTTTTTAATGAGAGAACATTTATAAGAAAAAAATACATTTAAATACTTACAGAAGACCTTAAAAAGATAGAATACTTTATACTTAAATTTGTGACGTGGTAAAAATGCGTTTACGAACGCAGGTAGGCCTGTAGTGTGATAGTCCTGAACTTATCAGACTACTCACTAAAAACCCACTCTACTCTGTTGGACATAGATCTGGGATTGTTTGTCACATTTCTTCAGGCCTCGCACCATTTCTGTTTTTCGATTACTTAATATGTTAAACGAACCCACAGGTTCAATTTTCCTCACCTGCCGTCATCATCAGGATGGCCGTGTCCACCGACAACTGTCTTACATGTTGTTGAGCCTAGAGGTGGAGCATTTCCTAACGTGGAAAGAGGAAGAGAGTTTGTTCCAAATCATCAGCGATGCCCGGTCCGTAGATACAATCGGGTGACAACGGCTTTGCTCAACCTGAACAGGTATAATAGAAAAGATCCGTGACCCGTCAGAAACTGGGTGAGGTAATCCACTTTTCCATACCACCAAACAATGCATGGTTGGATTTGCTGTATTATTCTCCTGTTTCTAGCTCTCCTGCCAGAGCCAGTAGATGCATGTGTGCAATCCTATGTTCTTGCATGTTACTCACAACGCCAACGATAAATCGCCTTCCTCTCCGCCACAAAACGTTTGACGGGGATGACTCCACCAAACGCCAGGATGGTGGGTTCGGATTTTGTTCGGTAGGTAGATTCAACCCTCAGTGCTGAATGACGCTGCACTCGGGTGATCCCAATCCGCATCCTGTACACCACCATAGACTCTGTTTAGGTGACACCGTATAGGTTCGGACTGGACAGCACACATTCACAGCCTTCTGCGGACCTCTGATATTGGTCTTGGATAAGAGAAGAAACCACCTTAGCGGCTTTATCCACACCTCTGGATCAAGGGAAGATCTGATCCCGCCAGCTAAGCTTAGTGTTCACATTGACACCAATGTATTTGGTAACACGTATTTGTCAAGGGACTGAATGGTTGGAGGGACTTGGAAGTACTTCACCCTCAATGGCATAATGATGTCAATCAGAATTACAATCTCGGGTTTGCTCCAAAATATTTCGTGGCAGGCATAATAACTAGCAACCACTCACAATTGATCCTATGCGTATTAAGTTTGTAGTAGTTAAACTTGTGTTAACCATGTTTTAGTTTGTCTGCACACGATGTATTGACTTGTTACTTTAGAAACTTCCTATGTTGACAATATTGTAAGTTATAAAAAGTACAATTTATGATACTGTGAATATTACGTTGAACCAATATTAGCATGTAATACATCTTTGAATATATGAAAAGTTCAAAGAAACCAATGTTGTAAAATGTATTCTTAAATTGTATATAGCCTACTTAAATAGTATTGCTTTATAAAGAGATGTTTTTTTTTTAAGTATAAACTACAAGTTCTGATATGCAATTAAATTAATTTCTAAGCATAAGATGATCCCGTAATAAAAATTACCAGCCAATAGTGATTTTATTTAGACGAGGAAATATACTAACAGTTGAAAGTCTTATTGACATAATTTTATATTACATTTTATTTTTATCTTTTTGGTTTTTTTTATTATTATGAAACCTATTTTATATTCTTATGAGCTACTTTCAAAAATCTCTTATAAGGTCCGTGATTTTATATAAACGATTTTTAATGTACTGTCGTATGTAGAGAATGAAGAAATCTTGAATTTGTATACATATGTGTTTATTAAGAGTAACGCTAAAATTTGTATCAGCAAACATTTAATTTATTGGTATCAATAAAGTGTACATGTTTAATTTACATCCACTAATTGACTAAATAAATTGAATTTACTGTGAAACTAGAGATGTTGCTCTTTGAGTTTCACTTGTTAATTAGAAATTCCGAAACAGAAAACGGAGAATGTTTGCGTATCCCTTAATTAGTTTTTAAGCAAACTAACGGCGGAATATATCTAGGAATATATTTATTACTGTAACAAAATCCGATTTCAATGTTTTTCAAACGTTTATTCTATTTTTTTACAGATTTCAAGTTACTTATCTTGAAATTTTGTGTTAATGTTTAATAATTGTTTACATGCCCTTACATTAAAAACAAAAAACATTATACTTTCACAACAAACGTATATTTAATGATTAAGTTAATTATTTATTTTATTATATGTTTATTGTTTATTGTACAATACATTGCAATATGTCACATAACAGATCTTTAAAAATTAAAGTTTCTTGATAAAATTAAAAATATCACAATACATTCAATATCGTTACTTACATTATAATGGGGCATTAAAAGAATTCATCGTCAACAGTTATAACCCGTAACAAATATTTTGAATTTCCATGCTAAAACATACAATTTAAAATTAGTTAATAATGTATTGCATTTGTGCAAACTCCACAAAAAATAGCAAACTGTACTTAAGGTAAACTAAGTACGTTTTACTAGTTTTACGCCAACATAATATCATCTGTATCCTTCAAAAAATAACTACTTTTTGGTTTTTTTATGTTTTCAACTTAATTAAACATTCATACTCAACATTGTATATTTGTTTGGTTTGGGGTGGCACATCACACACAAAAATGTGATCTTTACAAAATTGATAAAAAACATGCACAAATTAACCATAATCATTGGACATTTATTGAGTGAACTGGAGTTTCGACAAAGTTTTAGTTTGTCAAATGGTGTACTGATTCTCGTGGCTTTAGAAACTTCCTATGTTAACAATATTGTAAACTCTACAAACAATGTTATTGTGAATATCATTCAACTAACTTTAAATATTATCCTCTAATACAAGAATCCAGAGCTCAACACACCGTTGTCATGCCGTTAAATATTTAAACACAACGATAATACATTTTCCTGCTTATGTGGTACTTGTTCATTAAATATTATTGTTTGCATGCAATCATGGATATTACAGAGAAGTGTTTAATACATTCAGAAGCATTAAACGTCACTTTCGTATTATACCAGCCAATAATGTTTTTTGTCGATGTTTTAGATTGAAAAAGATTAACCACAAACGAAACCGCCTTATTGTAAAATATCTTATTGTATTTTAAATATTTCAATAATTATATATTATTTATTCTGAGATATACTGTATTTAAATTTAAAATTACATAAATATTTTGTTTTATGACTTTGTTTCAACTCTTTGCACAAATATAAGTCCGAAGCATTCTCATAGGCTAAGCAACCTTTTTTAACCTCTCTTAATGTGTTACTGTCCA